ACAACGTTTTGATCTTTCATTGATCTTTTGAGTTGGTTGAGTCATTAACGGAGCACATTTACTCGACTTGTGACATTTGCTTGAGGGAAGAATTCTAGTTAGGAATAATTTTTAGAATTTGAGCCATGTGTTGTAGATAGTTATCATTTTTCTTTTACATTTTATCATAAAAAAATAAAAATAAAAATAAAAAAGAGAGCAAGAGCATAATTTATCATCAATGTTTATGTAGTTTGGTTGCACTGACGTCTTGTGATGCATAGCAGCCAATCAAAAGAACGCCTTACTACATCAGCTTCATCAAATGTATGTTGTCTCTTGCCTCGAAAAAAAAAAAAGTTTGTGTATATTTGTCTGTATTTTCGAATCTTTGTTTATTTATGAGATCTTCCTCTTGGCCAGAATGAAATCCTGAAAGTTTGTTTATAGTTTGAGTGATGAATTGTTCCATATATTTGATTTGCTTATCATTTGATCAATGTTTGTTTAATAGCTTGTCCTTAAATTGCCTTCTCTCACTTGAGCGTTAATTGTGACATTTCCAACTCCATGAGCGTAATCCCTTTGCATCAAAATATTTCCGCTCCCCGTGAGGTAAATGGAGTTGAGACTTTACCTTGGTGAGTTTTTTTATGCTATTTGTGTTAAGGAATGTGGTAAGAAGGATACGGTTTGGTTTGAACTCATTCTTCAAACCAATTCTTATTTATTTACTAGTTAGGCACGTCAAATTCATAATTTGAACTCATTCTTCAAACCAATTCTTATTTATTTACTTGTTAAGCACGCCAAATTCATAATTTTTTATTTTAACTTTTAATATTTAAATTTTATATGAGAACGTTACACTGTAATAAAATCATTGATTTGAGTTTGAATATATGAAACAAACAACCCTTTTATAAGTTTGATCCTGTATAAAAATACGCAACTTCCCTAAAAGTATAAATTTGCCAGAGTTATCTAACAAAGTAAAATTTACAAAAATACCTTATTCATTTAAATGGAGAACGACCACCTGATCGTTTTTTTTTTTTTTTTTTGTAAAAGGTGGTTGTTTTTTTCGTTCTGACTTTTTTTACAAATAAAAATTATTAGAATGTTATTTTACTAATAAAACTTTCATATCAAGTCATTTTTACAAAAAGCACTATGTCAAGTAATTGAAGTAAGAGAAAAAAATGTATTTAAAAAAAATATCGAAAAAAAATTAAAGTTGCATAGTAGTTTTTAGCCAAAAAAAACCATAAGTAGAGATACATTTTAAAGGAATTATTTTAATTAGAAAAAAGTTAGGAAAATAAAGTATTTCAGTGAAGGATATTATAAGAAAAAATGAATGGTCAATGATTGTTAGATGAAAAAAATGAGATTTTTTGGTACATCTGGCATACTGGTATACCAGATTTTTCTAACCGTTGGATTTCCTTATTTTTTTTATTTTTACGTGATTGTTGGCGTGCCAAAAACTATCTAAAAAAAGACAATAAACAAAAAAAAAAGATGAAAAAGTGAAAGGAAAAGGTTTAAAAAACAAGAGAGAAAAAAAAAAAGAAGACATATAGTCCTCCTTAAGAGCCAACTCAACTAGGTTGTTTTAAATGCGTTAGTTGCAAGATTTGACGTATAAATAGTTGTAAAAAGGTTAAGCTATACTATAAAAAAAAAGTTAAGCTATAAAAGAGAACTTGGTAAAAAAATTAAAAAAAAAAAAAACACTCACATAAAAATGAAGATTAGAAAAGAACAAAATACACGTAAAAAATAAACAATAAAATAATATTCTTATAATGAAAAAAAAAAAAGAAGACTAAAACATTTTAAAAAAATCTAAGATATAAAGATAGAAGAAAAAAATAGACCAAAAGAAATTGGTCATATTTAAGCCTTGGATAATAATATCTAACACCAACATCTGGAATAGAATAGCTAAGACTAAGTACAAACAATGATAAATACGAAGCTAATGAAGAAATTGTTTCTACAGCTAGCGTACCTTACTGAAAATTGAAGGAATGCATGGTGGACACCTGGTCTTGTAATAAGAATTTGAAAAAAAAAATTTGAAAGAAAAACAAAAAAAAAATGTGATCATTCCATAGAAAGACAGAACACAAACTTTAAGTCTAACATAACGAACGCATAAAATTAAGTTTTATGCAACATTTCAAAAATGGGAACATCTAAGTTCCTTCAAAATGGATTAACGGGGATACAAGAAAGACAATAACAGTATTTTAATATCTAAATGCTATATTAAATTTAAGAACGTTAACTATTAGAAGGAAAATAAAAGAAAAAAAAAAACAAAACTTTTAAGTTTGTAATCTGTAGTAATGGAACAGATGCTAAAAGACATAAGCTATAAGGAAGGAGAATCCTTTTCCTTCTTCTTTATTTTATTTTAACTTTTTTTTTTTCAGAAAAATGAGTGGAATAACATCCCATTAAAAGGTGCCAAAGGGGTATGAGTAACCAAGTGCAATGAAAATAACATCACTCGGAAGACAGAGATTCCAACTACCACTCTTCTGAAATTAACATACTGTCAGAACCTACGTCAAGCAATTTATTTAAATTACATTTAATACGAAGTTTTAACAACATCAACGGTAACAAAAACACTTGTTTCAATAATCAATAGGGAAGACAACAAATAATTATTTCTTTGTGGGTCACTTAAGTGTCCAAAAGTCAAATTATTGTTCGTTCCAAGTTTAATTCCTTCTGACACGTTCAGTTTTAATTTCATAATACATATCACCAAAAAGACTAACTTATGTTTAACTTTTAATACAAGTGACAGCACAAAAACATACCATATCACTTCAAATAATCTTGACACCAAGTTTACAAGTAAATGAGGAAGGAATCCACGTTGTGCAGATAAAGATAATATCCAAAGAACAATAAATCAAAACCCCAAGAACGAGACAAATTGTTCACAGTTTTTTGCGTGGAAAAACTTATATTCTCGATTAATAGGACATCAACTCTACCAGCTAATTTCAATCAAAATTGAAAAACGCACGAAAAGTTCAATTTAAAAAGGAAGACACAATTGATAAATTCAAATAAGAAAACAAGTTTTCGAAGAAAGAAAAAAATACCAATGCGTCACCCAGATTGGATTTGCAGAGAACCAAGCAATGTTTTCTTTACTAAATAGTGGAAAGGATAAATCCTAAAGACGGAGCAAAAACTTGGAACATAGAGATGAGAATTTAGGAATGGACTTACCAAATGGCCGAACGAAAACAACTGAGACCGTGGATGTGCAGTGTGCGTAAGAGAAACTGGGAGATAAAATTGAATTTTGCTGCTACAGCACGAAAATTGGAAAGAAAAATCTTCTTACGTATGTTAATACATGACCATAATAATAGAACAGTGATACACGGAAACATGAAGAAAGCAGTTTCTTAATAAAAGAAAAGAAAAAAAAAAGGGTTATTATGTAACGTTATGCAACAAAGTTTTTTATTAGAGAAAGTACCATTCATTTCCTTCCCCGTGAAACCCAGAATCCTTCCCAGCTAGAGCCATGGCTGAGACGGCGTTGTCAATGACACCGAAATGATCACCAAAAAGGGTCCACTGACTCGGATTTGTGATCTTGTTGGGTCGATTCCTATAGTAGTTGTTACTAAGGTAATGAAATTTAAACATGTGTCTTTCTGTTTTTTAACTGATTTAAATTGTATTGGTGATTCGGTTGTGGAGGCCACTACAAAGAAGCAGCTTAAGTATGCTTGAATTTCTTAGCCTTGTTAATGTAATTTGTTTTGAAATGCTATTGGTTTTGCAAAAGGATTCAGTTCAGCTGGTCTGATCTATTTTGTGTACTGGGATTATCTCGACAGTTATGAAAGACAAAAAGCCAGGCTTACAAAAGTAAAAGAAAGATCATAAAAAAATTGTGCTCTCTTTGTCCTGCTTTTATTGTAGGTGACATGTAGAGAAATATTGATCGCACTTGTACACATTCTAAATGCATACAATTAGTATTATGGAGTTGGAGCAACGGAGTTAAGCAATGTAGATTATAATAACCATAGTAACTGCCTTGAAAAACCAAAGCCCTATTCAAATATTCATAAAGGTCAAATCCAAATCCAACATTTTCGGTTGTCATTTGTCTTTTAACTCATGTTAGCTAGTTTTATGAAAAAAATTTATACATGGAATCTCTTAACTTCCCACTACAGAAAGATACAAACACATCAAATCAAAATGGAAACAGATGTTCTGTATTACAAATTGTATCTGCCTGCCTTCAAAAAGGGGGGAAAACGGTATCCTCAATCTAAATCACGTTTGACATGTACATTGAGATGACTAAAAATCAGTACCGCATGAACTAAATTTTCTGCTCTGAGGAAAATCTTTGGTTTTATTACTTTGCTTTTCATTTCTTTTCTTTTTAACCTTTTTCTTTCTTTATTTTGTTTCAAAACAAATGAAAGCTAACAAATAACAAATGAACACTCACTGAAACAATTTAGCAAACACTTAAACACCAAACTTTAATTGAACCCAAAACACATACATAACGTTGACATCTAATTCAAATGGAAATCAATCAGAATTATCCTACTCTCTTTCAATAAAGTTTCAAATTTGTTCATGGAGAGTAGAATTAAGAAACACGGTAACCCAAAACAGCTAAATGCATTGTGCTTGATTTCTGGTACCAAAAAAAAAAAAAAAACACACACACACACAAGAAGGAATTAGAAAATCTTACCTTTGAAGCTGTCGGATTCGAAGGCACCACTTTCATATTCTTCAGCTTCTGACAACAAGGAGTATGAGTGCACTTTCAAGGAATAGTTAGCTGGAGGAATTTGTCTTTTGGTTCTTGATATTTCTGCAAGAAATAACAATTTTTCAAATTACTATATAAAATTACCATAATGAAATACTCATAATTTGTCTCAAAATTACTCTTTTCCTCAAGAAACAATGAAGCAAGGAAAATGGAACAGGATATACATATCTTTATAGTTAATACAAACATCATGATCGTTGCATCCATTTAGGTGGGAAAAGAGAAGAGAAAAAAAAAAGAGTGAAACTATGTTCCTAATATTGCTCATTAGTCCACAAACGAAGCATTTTCCCTAGGAAATTGAATGAAAGAACCTTCCTATTTAGGTAGGATAATAGAAGAGAAAAAAAAAAGTGAAATTATATGCCTAATATTGCTCATTAGTCCACAAACGAAGCATTTTCCCTAGGAAAGTGAATGAAATAACCTTCCTATATACAAGAAAGATGTGAAACCTTGATGAAAATGTTGACCAGGGCAAGTCCAAAAAGTGAAGTTTTTTACCTTGTAAGAAAACAAATGGTCTCTGTGTCTGAAGCAAGCCGAGCAACAGAAGGAGAAGAGAAAGAGGAAGTCAAAAGGGGATGAAGCTCTTGTCGCTGACAGTAAGAGCCGGTTGGAGAGAGCATCAGCGTAGAGGAAGATAGAGAGAGAGGCAGAGAGAAAGAAAGAGTCGGAGAGAGAGAGGGGCAAAAAGAAAAAGGAAAAAAAATTCAAGAAAACGACAAAATACATAAACAAAAACTTTGAACAGTGAAATGTGAGTACGTGCACAGTAAGCAAACTGTGCTTTCTCATACGGTCGCACGTGTGAGGCTCAATATGAGAGTTAAATTTTTTATTTAAAGACTAATTTTGAGTTCTTGAATTCCATTATAAAAATAGAATTTTATCATTTTTATTTTCAATAAATAAATGACGAGTAAAAAAAATAAATTTGTTTTGTAAACATGATAGGACTATATTACTAGGAATGAGTATTCTAACATAATTACAACTAAGTCAATTCATGGTCATTACATAATGAATTCAAGTAGTCCCAAGTTTTTATTACCTTACAAGTCATAAGTAGCATATTAAATAATGAATTTTAAATGGCGGACATCATATAGCTACTTTTGAATATTCATATTCTTGTGTCATCCATGGGTCAAACAAAAACATTTGAATTTTTATAGTAACATCCAAGATTAAACCAAAAACCAGTATTTAAGTCATTCAAAGACAACCATTAAAGCTATTTGAAGGAAAAAAAGAAAAAGAAAACAAAGAAACTTTCATTCCATGGCAAATGAACAGTGATACATTAGTCCTCTAGAAGTGTATTTGAGAAACGCATTGAATAGACACATTGAGCAAGAATATTTTATAATGGCATTGAAGAAATATGTTTGGTCAGCATATTTAGCATGCATATTCAATAAAATCATTTAATAAGCATATCCATTAGTAAGTCAATTAGATAAAGCCATTAAGCAAACCATGAATAAAACCATATAGCAAACCATTAAGTAGACCATTTAGCAAACCATGAATAAAACCATATAGCAAACCATATAGAAAATCATATAGTAAACCATTTAGAGAAGAAAAAAAAGGGTAAACAAAAATAACAGTCAGATATCATGATAAATTCTTTGCATAACTAACTAAAAAAAATACTAAAATGTATAACTTATTTTCCAACATGTAGAGAGGAAGAAATAAGAAATAAGCTGAAGATGCAACTACAATGATAAGGGGAAGGAGATAGAGTGGGCCTTGCGTGATCAGATATGCAACAATCTTGTTGTCCCGGCTGTGTTCATTGAATAAATGTCAATCTGATTCTAGAATTCTTGTCATTATTAGGGAAAAAACACAACCATCAACATAAGAATTGCATCAGTTTTATGCACTCCAATTTTAACAGACGATATTGTGTATTTTTTCCTCAATTGCTTTGAAAGCTGGTTTGATTTTATCGTTCTAGTCATGATATGAAACAATGCTAGTTATGTAAAAAAAAAATGTAACCTTCTAATTTCCAAGATAAAATGTCTACATTAAAATTGACATTCCAAAATTGCAACAGCAATGAAAAAAGTTCAAAAAACTGACAACAAAACAAAATCAGCTTCATATCGCAAATGGAGTCAAATGCCCTAAGATTTTTCCCTCTTTTTTATTTTAAATTACAAACATGTAAATCAAATCTGTAAATTGATAGAAATAGCAATTTAACTAATATGACATGACCTGTAATTTAATGGGCTTAACACATGAATTACCAAAAACAGGTTTAGCCTCAGAATTACCGTGCTAAATAAATACAACAATAAATAGATTTTTTTATGATCAAGGGATAGTATTACCCGATTTTTATTTCATGGCATTTGTATCGACATAAATTCTTGACTCCACATCAGTTGTACTTGTATAATCTCTTGATAACAAGCGCTTGTTCATTGAGCTAACTCCATGCCGGTAAGGCCACATGCCACAAGCATGCTTGTCTTCCCTTGTCTGGTTATGATCGCCAATAATAGCAGAAAAAATATCAGGCCTATGAAAACCTCATAACAAATTTATAGTGTTCGCGATACTTTTGTTTAAACTCATATTGAATGAGACTATAATTGAAATAATAAAAAAAACAAACAAAACAAAAAAACCAGAAGCAAAGAAAGAACAAAATACGTTATGGATTTAGAATTAGGAATAAAGCAAAACAATATAATGAATGTAAAGATTAATATAAAAGTGTACGGCGTAATAATAAAGAAGAAAAGAATCAATTAAAGAAGAAAAGAATCAATTTTATTTAATATGCATATGATAGATGTCAATAATTTAACTCAACTAAAAGACAACTGTAACTTACATAAGCTGAGCCATCTAGCAATGCGAAGCATTCACAAAAAGGGCAAAAGTTGAAGAAAAAGATTGAACACCACGTGCCTGCTTTGAGATTTAGTACATAGAGATAGAAACAAACGTTGATTTAAAACAAAAAAAAAAATCAAACAACATTCTATTCAATTGAACTTGGAAAGCGCTAACCAAACTGAAAGAGCCTAAAAGTTTTAAGGGAACTTAAAATTGTACAACACAACCTAAAATACAAATCATGTGTTGAGCAAAAAATACAAACTATGCATATCAAAACAATTTTGGTGTGTTTTGACAAAAAGGTGAATGCTTAGTCTTTAATTTTCATGTAGTTTAGTAATAAAGAGAATTCTTAGAGGATGTAAGTTGTGCAAAACTCCACAGAGCATCAGTAGTTCTAATCCTTATTTGTATCTAACTTCTTCATTTTTTCATAGAGCAGATGGGCATATCTAACAACAAAGAACGTTCAAGTTTTTCCAGCCAATATGGACGACTAGTTATAAGCACACGCTCCGCGCGTGGACGCTTTGACGAATTTATTGGAGGCAAAAATGAAAATCATATTGTACTTTTATAACACATTTTAGAGATTGTAAATATATATAGAATGAAAGAAAGATGAAGATAAGTTTTGTTCTATGATTATTTAGCATGTTGATCGGCGAAGGTCGCACCAATGAGTAGAAAGTTAAATAACCATTTGATGTTTAATTTTCAAACAAAATTAACGTGTCGAGCATAACTATTTACATCAAAACGTTATAGTTACAAAAGTTGGTTGAGCACATATACGAGGAAAAAGTCAAAGAAATATTCCTAAACTCTTTTGATGATGAAATTCAATAAGACAATCAGAACTTAAATTCTTTCGAGACAAGTTCATACTAATGTACCAGAAATTTCAGGATGGAAAAAAAAAAGAAAAAAGAAAAATCAGTAATACAGGAGTCAAACTTAGATTTGAGGAATAAAAGGACATGTATAGAGAAGATCTTTCCACAAGTTGCCCTTTTGAACTACATTTGCGCTCCTCTTTAACTTTTTTGCATAATCTTGTTCAACTTACTCCAACACTTTCAATGCCTTAAATAATTCCTAAAACGGAGAAACATCTTTTTCTTTCCTTCAGTCAGTTTCAAAGAATGGAATCTATTCATCATTAATTCAAACTAAGATGAACAGAGAAAGAGATACCAAACTTAAGCAGTCAGTGGAGTAAGAAATCAGTTTCTATTTATCATAGAGCACTTGTATAGCTGAATTGGTCAGGAACATAGCTGTAACTAAGAGGGGACTAAAATTAAAAATTAAAAAAAAAAAACATAATAACTCACAGCTGTATGGTTAACCAGAGTCATTAGTTGTTGTATAGTTGACTCTGCATTGAAGCACTTATTTTTAGCATGCTTCATGACCAACCTATTAAAGCAAAATATATGAAGAAGAAACAATCAGAATCTTACTCAAAATCTTTGGATGGAAAGAAAAACTTAAAGCAAAAAAAAAAGGATATCTTAGATATTACTTTAAATGGAAACCCAACAGTTCTGTCTCACATGCAACTTGCACAAGGCCTACAAAAATGTAATATATATCATCACAGCAAAGATATCACCATCATTCTTCACACTTCATACATCTTAGAGAGAACTAAAATAATTGTGCACATTCATGTTAAGGACCATAGAGCACGAAGGATGCAAATTTCCAATAAAGAAGACTGTAAATGTCCCTTACTAGCTTCCAATTTTGAAAAGGAAGACGCGAGCCCATTATTGCTAGCATGACCAACGACATGTACAATTAAAAGACATGCATTAATTGATACAAAGCAAAGGAACAAGAGAAAATTTGGAGAAATATAAATGATTAAAAGGGTAGAAGGAAAAAAAAACAACGCTATAATAATACTATCTATACAACCTCTCTAATACCTAAACCAGAACAACCATTGTCCAGAAAAGACAGCTGGCTCATCTTCTTTTTTTTCCCCCTCTTTATCGCTTGATCTAATTTCAGTTTCTAAACATACCTGTATTGTTTCTTGGGGTAGGATATAAGTTTTTGTTGTGAATTCATATGGGCTAGTTTTTCTCAAGAATTTCACCTTCCTCTCAAGTTTTCCTATACAGCCTACAGCCAAGTCTTCAAAGCTGTGAGATAGAAGATCAATGATCAATTCCAAAAACCTTAAATATAAAACCTAATCACCAAAAATACGTGGAGTGTTGATAATTTAAAAGAACCAAATAAAATCAAGCAACAAAAGTGTTCAAATGAAGATATAATTAGAGAGAAAAAAAAAAAGGGAAAGAAAAGCATATGACAAAGACAAAATAACAAAAATGACTCGTTCATTACAATACATAGAAGAACACGAAATGACCTAATAACTTTTTCATAATGAATCTCTAAAACAAAGTAAAATACATGTTGAAATAGAATTTATGACAACGTTAATTTGAGGGAAAATATGTAGCTAAGCCAAATGAAGAAAACCACTACAAAGTATAAACTGCAGCAAATTAATTATATTGACAGTGAGAGAGAGAGAGAGAGAGAGCCAACCTGTCAAATGCTTTTAAATTTCTGAAATCAGGACATCATTTTCTTTGCTTCGACATAGTATTACCTGATTTTTATGTCATGGCATTTGTATCGACATAAATTCTTGATTCCACATCAGCTGTACTTGTATAATCTCTTGATAACAAGCGCTTGTTCATTGAGGTAATTCCATGCCGGTAAGGCCACATGCCACAAGCATGTTTGTCTTCCCTTGTCTGGTTATGATCACCAATAATAGCGGAAAAATATCAGGCCTATGAAAACCTCCTATTATCATAACAAATTTATAGTGTTCGCAATACTTTTGTTTATCTAAGGCAAGAAATTATAAACTCGAGACATGAAGATAAAATGTAAGATTTTCATTGCAACCCCATACAGAGCAGAGCATAATACAAGAATTTGTGTTTGTTTCGTAGCTTAAACTACTGTTAAACTTTTTTGCTAAAACGTTTTCGCTTGCAAAATTTAAATTTCCTTTCAAACTTATGAACCAAGCAACCGATAATTGAAGTATCATCAGAAAATTTTTAAAGAAAAAACGACCATCCAAACGAAAGCGAAAAAAAAAACATATGAAGAAGGAGAAAATAACCTCCATCAAAGAGGGAAAACCCCATAGATGATCGAAGCCCCCAAAGAAGAGTGAGGTTTTTTTTTCCCATTCGCTTGACCCACATCAAAAAGGGAAGAAAAGAAAAGGCCATAAATTATCAAAACCCTTAAAGAAATCTTTAAGAAGGATGCATGAGAAATATATTGAAGATACATTTGAGAAAAATTGAAGAAGATACATTTTTAAAGGGAATGAAAATTTGAAGATACGATCCTCACCTCGGGAGACTCAATCGAGCGTGCGAGTGCCCGCGAAGCTGCTTCCTTCGGAGTTCGAGGCGAGGCACGCGAAGTGAACTCAGTGAGTTAGGGTTAGGAACACGGGGGCTTGTTTCTTCGTTAGGACTAGAAGAGAGAAAGAGAGCGAAAGTGAAGGTTAGAGCGCAAATCACGAGGGGGAGAAGAAATCGAAGGAAGAGGAGATAGGTCTCGGTATAGAGACAGAGGAAAGAGATAACGTGATGGTGTTGTGATTTTAGAGAGAGAAACAGGGAAACTGCTACGAAGGGCTGTAAAAATTGAAGGTGTTGTGAAGATTAGAGCGCAAATCACGAGGGGGAGAAGAAATTGAAGGAAGAGTAGATAGGTCTCGGTGTGATCGAGAGAGAGACACAGAGACAGAGGAAAGAGAGAGAACGTGACGGTGCTGTGATTTTAGAGAGAGAAACAGAAAAACTGCTACGAACGGCTGTAATAATTGAAAATACAGTTATTCGCGTAGGGTATGAATTATATGTCGGACAATTTTTTTTAATAAAAATTTTCGTTCTTTCCATAAATTCAAATTTAGAATTTAATTTTTATTATAGTAAAAAATTTTTAAAAATAATTACATTTAATTTTTTTACTACAGTAAAATTAGTCAAAATTATATCTAATTAAAAAAATATACAGACAATTTTAATACGAAAAAAGTAAAAGACTAATAACAATTCCGTTCGATTCGCTAATTCGAGTTTTTAATTCGAAATGTGATGTGTAAAAACTTTTTTTAATAGTTAATAATTGAGACTATCAATAAAATGAGTTAGATATTATTGATGTTTTGATAGTTTTGTATTTTTATTAAAATTAATTTTATTGAATTTTTAAATCACAAAATTTATTTATTAAAAGCTATTTGGCTGGATTTTTCTTTATATATATATATATATATGTTTCAGAGAGCTTTTTGGGTGATTGATTAATACCAAGAAAATTAGAAATTACAATTTAGTCTCATGAAAGTAGTGTACAAATAATTTTAAGGGTGCGTTTGAAATTCGTTCTAAAATAATTTTATATTTGATATAAAAATAAAAATAAAAAAGTTTTTAATCTCATACAGAAATTATTTTTAAAAATGCGTTTAGTAGTTTAAAAATGAGTTTTTTTACACTGAAAATAATCTCTTGATAAAATTACTAAACGCATGTTCAAAAATAATTTATGTCTGAGATTGAAAACGTTTTCATTTTCATTTTCATACAAAAAATAAAATTATTTTGAAATGAGTTTCAAACGCGCCTTAACTTTTTCATTATCACTCTCAACTGACACACATTTATAGTAATATTAGTAGTAGTAGTAGTACCGAGTAAAACAATGGTTCAAATTAGTTTGGGTATTTTTATTATTTCACAACTAAACTTAGCAGAGTATAAGGCATGGGTTGTTGCTGTAATTCTTTTACGTTAAGAAACTGTCTATGTTATTTTGATAAAACATATGGGGCGTCAATATAAATTGTTCTATTATAAAACTAGAGACTCATGAATATAAAAAAAAAATGTTTATTCTACATTTTCACTAAATAATGCACCTTAAATATCTCAATCACTTACATTACTAGCAACTTTACTAATTATGCTAAACTTTGCACTCGATTAAATTATGCGGTGCAGCTCTCACCTGTAACATGGTCTATTATTTACTTTCTCAAGCATAACAGTTCCCACTATAATCCCATAAGGTGAGCCCAATCAGTTCTGCAATTTTCCTCCAAGGACATGATCTTCCCCTTGACCCTAGTGGAGCATGATAAACCCGATCTTTTAAGGGTCAGATTTAGGTCCCTGTTGTGTACTTGCTCGTTTTATCTTTTTTATTTTTATTTTCAAAATTATGATATACTTATTAAATTAATATGTTGTAATATGCACTTTTGAATGTCAGCACATACTTTTATCTATTGTTAAATTGTGTGATTATTATTTATTCTTTTATTTAGAATTTTGAAATTAAATGATTAACGAATTGAAAATTGAAATAATAATATATTTATATTTTATTATCTCGAACTTCAACTCCTGATAGGGCATGTTTTCCCTTATGGGATAAGGAGCGGGGATGGCTATCCAACCCCTTGCCCCTCGGCCCGAATTTTTGAGGTTTTTTTAATGCCCCTAGATTTAAAAAAAAAAAAAAAAAACTTTATGCAGCCCTTAAATATTTTTATTATATTCTCTTTTTTATTAACTCAACTTTCAAATATAGTTTCGTTTATTTTATCAATTTGAGTTTTTAATTCTAATTTTATTACTAAAAGCTCCCATAAAAAAGTCACATTTAACTTTTTCTGTTATAATGAAAAGCACTTACATAATATTACATCTTAATTCGAATTAAAAATTTAAATTTATGAACTGAATGATGCCTATATCTACCCTATAAATTCAAAAAAAAATTACGTGTTGTTTGTTATTATAAAATTGGTTTTAAAAAATTCCTAAATGACCCATCAAAATATCTATTCTCACAAAAAAAAAGTTTGAATACATTCAGACACAAATTACGGTGTGACTAAAACTTTTTGCTACAACAGTTTTAGTCGCAGAATTTTTTAGTGTAAGTACTTTTTCATGTAAATAAAATCCTTGTGACCAACGTCAAATAGTATTGACTTTTCACATCTGTTGGAGCACAACCATCGTGAGAACATTTTTTTTCTTTTTTTTGGCCCTGTTCACTTCACTGATTTGAGTTTAAAATTTGAGTTTTTCTACAGTAAAAAGCTCTCATAAACAATCACATCTAACTTTTTTACTACAGTAAAAAACTCTCACATAAAGTCACATCTCAACTCGAATTCTAAACTCGAATCAGCAAAGTGAACGGGGTTTTGTCATTTGCAACCAAAATGAAAATTCTTCCATGCAAGTCAAACGCGTTGACCGGCATGGAATTAGCTTGAGCTACTCATATTTGTGTAGTAGTCGCTTTTCGGTAAAAATAAAAAAATATATATTATTTGATAATTATTTTATAGAGCAACATGAGATGGTCCTGTGATATTAAGGGCATTTTAAAAACTAAGTTAGCTGCAATTATTCACTTTTCTGTTTTTCTTTCAAACCAACATATTTAATCCCTTAAATGCTCCCATGGACACACCCTAGAATGAAGACCAATTCCCCTAAAACCAGTAGAGACACGAATCAAATCTGCCATTAAAGCTCCCAGATGAAAACTCACATTGATTTGCTGGTGAAAAACTCGGTGGTAATAGCAAAGGAATGGGCTAGGGCCTCAGCTACATTGACAAACGAAATTTTCCCTACCCACATCTCAAATTTATTAATTACTAGCAAATTTCTTCTATAAATTGAATATAAAAGCAAAGAAAAAGCGGATTTTAAATTACAAATGGATACTAAATCATAGCTAAACGAAAGAAAAGAATAGATAGAGGGGATATATGAGGAGCAAAGTAACATAGAGGAATAAGGGGTGTCTGAAAATGTTTCGTATTCATGATATGTTAGTTGGTCAGAAAAGGAAAAAAGGCAAGCCTTTGGGTGAAACCCCAAAAATAGTGTGTGTTTTGTATTACCTAGTGGTTCCTCTAACAAACACTAGCTTTTTCATTATCACTCTCAACTAACACACATTTGTAGTACTGCTCGATCAAAGCCTTTGTAGTGTTAGTCGAACGTCAGAGAGACTCACAGTCACTGATCCCCACTGCCCTTTATTTGCCTAATTAATTTGCCTTTGCCTTTTAGAAGAACAATACAAACAAAGAACTCATCTCTCCTTACTCTCTCATAGTCTTTCTCTCTCTCTCAAAGTCGCTTTCTCTCTCTAGCCATCGCAATATCTAGGCAAGAAAGAAAATGCAAAGTTGTGGTGAACAGTAGAATCTATATCTGCAACTCTTCACATGGTCTGCATGTCTGCTTTCCTCTTCTGCAGTCACTGAATTCACTAGACCCAATCCTACCAACCAAAAAAAAAAAAAAAAGTTACAGCTATATGAACTTAGTAATCCTCTCTGATCTCTTTCTCTCTCTATACGTGTATGTACGTATATATTAATACCAAATAAAAGGTATATGCCCAAAAAAGGTACTTTTATTAGATAAAAGTGTTGTGCCTCTTGACTCAATTTGGGTTTTAATTTTTGGTGATGTAATTTTTAATATTTAAATGAATTAAATCTCATCTATTTTTTATTTTATTTTTTAAAATATTGTGTGTTAATATTTATATAAGTTAAGTCATGATTTTCTCATGTAATCTTGTCATGCACTGTTTTATTATTTGAATTATTTTGTAAGTGTCTTTTATTGTAATATTTTTAAATTGATATATTGTCGATTTTAGATAATTTGTAATAATAATATTTTCAAAATCAATATAAGGATTTAATTTATTCGATACTTTTATTTTGTGAATCAAAACCTAAAACGGTGAACGAAACATAAGGGATTATCGACAACTTACCCTTTTTACTATTGAATTTTTTCACATCAATTTTCTTTCTTTTCTTTACTTTATTTGCAACAAAATCACAACAATACTCTTTCTCGTACTTAATTTTATTAATTTATTCTGCTCTATCATCTTATTTTACTAATCATTCTTGTCTGTTTTATTGCCTCTATGTGAATACGATTGTCTTTCTATGCTACAATTGACCATTTATGAATAACACTTTAGGGCATCGTATTTAGCTTTCATGAAACTGTTAGTTTCATCTTTGTCTTCTCCCTCTCCAACTCTCTCTCTCTCATACACAGATACATACATAGAGGACAAACGATCAAATTACTGATACGCAATATTAACAGTCTTTAGCCAAGAGATCTTATAAATTATGATATAAGAACACTAGAAAAATTATTCATTAGATCTTAATTACCGTAAGATTACTAATATTGTTCTTATAGATTTAACCGTAAGTCTACAGTTGAACGCGCTGACAATTTGAAGAAGTAAAAATTACAGCATCAACAGTCAAATAATAGAAATCTTAATTATGATATAAAAAAGTAGAATACTATAGTTAATATTTATTTTAAACCCCTAGCCATGTGCACCCCATATGATCTGAAGTACGTGATGAAAAATTGAAGAAAACGTTTTCATTTTAACAATCTCTTGATAAAATTACCAAACGCATTTTTAAAAATAATTTTTGTCTGAGATTGAAAACGTTTTCATTTTCATTTTCATACAAAAAATAAAATCATTTTAAAACGAATTCCAAACGCGCTCAAAGTTTTTCACCACGTTAAATTACTGATTTTCCTGCAAAGTTAAACTTTTAAAATAGGAGCCTAACATTGAATTGTAAAAAAAAAAAAAAAAAAAAAAAAAAGTGCAAGCTGGCAAGATCCGGTCTATAATTAAATAAATTAATAGTTAAAAAACGACAGATTCAAAAGTATCATTTTCGCGCTCTTCCTCATCTCCATCACGATCATCATCGTCGTACTCGTCCGCGTCTTCTTCCTCAATCTCGCAAAACTCGACTGTGTGTGGTGTGTGGCCGTCCCCGAAAGCACGAACATGATCTTTGAGCGACCTCTTGTGCTTGAAATCCGACCCGCAAATGCAAAACCAGAGCTTCCCACAGTTCTTCTCGTGAGTTCTCCAGTCCCCTCGCACTGCGAAGGGCTTACCACATTTGCGACAACCGAACGGTTTCGCTCCGTGCTTTCGCTTGTAATGTGTTTGAAGTGTTCTGAAGTCCTTCAATGGCCTTGACCTCGAGTGGTCAATGTTATTCTTGCAACCCTCGGAGCAGCAATAGCATGGAAGTCTTAACATTGATGAGGCTGGCTTTGTCCCTCTTAGAGATTCCGGGCCCTTCCTGTATTGTGAACCGTGACCCCACATATGCATCTGCATTGAACACAAAAACTATGGATATTGGACTTAAAGGTACTATATATTACAAAGTAAAGTTGACGCAAAAGAGAAAAAGATCATGGAAGAATACCTACATAAAATGCATATAATAGTGTACTCAATCGTACATTTTATCCCAAGACTATAGCGCCAAAGTACAATACATCGTTATAACTACTTGAAGACTTGAGTAATTTAGGATTGTCTTGGATTAAAAAGAAAAAAGAAAAATAGGTTAATTAGGATTCAGTAGTATGTTTGGTAGTACTATTTCTAATTACGGTACCAGACAGTAAAAAGATTGGGCTTATTTTTTAAAAATAATAATAATAAACCGGTGAGAATCAGCAACTATAATCAAGAAAAGCAATTTCATCCCAACCATGTTGACACCCGAAAAACTACCCATCTCGCACTATGCCTATCACTCAAAGTTACTGATGGAAAGAAAAACACAAAAGGTTTTAGAAGGAGTGAAGGAGAAAAAAAAAACCGAAGGACCGAAATGAAAATACCAAAAAGTATGGTATATTAGTCAGGTTCTTTTCATCATCACCTGCATGTTGTTGTATCTATTGAAGGTTTTGTTGCAGACTGAGCAAGAGAATTGCGTCGGACCGACGAGGATTTGCGCCGGTGAGGGAATCCAATACTGGCTTTCAATAGGAGGACCTCCACTGTGATTAGGGCGTACTACTGATCCGGCATTTGGTGGACCAATGTGAAGGGCAACGGTAACACCCTCTTCATGTCTGCTCCTGAGGCTTTGATCATTCTGAGGTTGGTTTAAGGAAGAGTGATGAAAAATGGCTTTGTGTTGCTTGAAGATATTGTGGTTTCCGCGAGGGCCAAGAGAGAGAAAAACGGAATCTTCATCTTCTTGATTATCTGCCGCTACTGGACAAGCGCTCTCAGTACTGGTGCAAATATAGTTCATGGAGGAAGAAGTAGTAGTAGAAGTATGCATGCTGACCGATGATGTTTCTGTTATATTAGAGAGAGAGAGAGAGAGAGAGCAATAGACATGGAGAGTTTGGTGATGTGCATGTTATATATAGTGGGATTTGGTGGAAACTGGAGAAAGTGAGACGTTTTTAAAAGGGTAATAAAACGTATAAGAAATATTATATCATGTAAAAGATAAATGCTTGGATTTTAACAAGGAAAAACCTAATACATCGTCATCAATCGCAGAGCCAAAAATTGTCTTCAAAAGAACATGAACTAAGCCAAAATTTTAAAATTCCAAATATGAGTATATTTAAAGTTTGAAATATGGAGATAAAAGAAACCTATTGAAAATTCTATATAAAAAACGACAACAACAATATTTCAAGGGCACAAAGTACAAGAGAAATTAGAGAAAAATATTTTAGGGGTAAAAGTTCAAAGAATACCCATTAATTTGTCCCTCCTTCCCCGGCCTAAGGCTCCCATCATCGACGTTTTTGATTCTTTTAACTATTTTTATATGTATTTAGTAAAAATTTGTTAGTTTCATAAATACTTGTGTAAACCTATATGTATGTATGCGTACATATTAATTTGTAACGTTCAATGCATATAACTATGTAAACCTATGTAGCTCATTAATGTATGTAGTATGCTAATGCATAGTATTGGTACTAGTTTTTATCATATGATACATGATTAATGTGATGTTGCACGTGGACCGTGAGAGAGGAAATTGAATTTATGTACATGATTCCTTATATACATGGATTTATATATATATATTATATATATGTATATACATGAATTTAGACTTTTTTACGGTTTTGGCGTGTTTGCGAACGCAGGAGACAAAGAACCAGCAAAGGAGGGAGACCTGGTGGGGCAAAGAAAATGCATAGAATAGCGTACCTACACACAAAGACACACACACACACACACAGACACACACACACACACACACACATATATCCACTGATCTCTCTGTTTCTCTCATATTTACTCAGTCATCACTTTGCTACAAATGCTCGCTCGATTCCCAAGCGATGTACATCTTTTATCTCTTTTCTTCTTCTTGTCTTCTGGTCTCATTTACTCTCTCTTTCTCAGTCCAAAAGTAAATTAAGACTAAAGAGAGCGATAGAGAAACGCACACTACAGATGACACACATACAGTATATAGACATGGAGAACTGTAGATCATGGAAGGCGTGAAATCTCTCTCTCTCTCTCTCTCCGTTTTTTACCAAAGCAGATGGTGACAGTGATAGTAATGGTGCAAAAAATGTGTACCCAGATAGGGACGTTTCCATGCTCAACCCAACAACAAAAATAACGTATAAGGTACTACTTTTTTTTATAAAAAAAAAAAAAGTTAATTCATATTAATGCATCAAATTAAAATATTTGTTAACGTAAGACAACATTTGAAGGCTTTATTGTCAACACATATAATGATAATGAGAAAAATAACTAATGCTAGGCATTAAAAGATTTACCAAGTATTTATTGTCAAATTAAGACGCCACTAACGTAATATTTGTAAGGGTTCATTTTTTTTTTTTTTGGGAGTATATGATTGATTTAATGTTTATCGAATATTAGTTTTTTTAATGGACTATCGAATATTTGTGAAATGGCCGCATTGAATATATTTGAGACCAATTAACCTAGTGATGAAGCATGTAAGATATACAAGAAAGAATTCTCTTGTTTATTTTTTTTTTTAGGCTTTCACTATTACGTACAGGTATTATGAGTTTGAATACTTTTGGTTTTCACAAAGAAAGTAGAACAATTACCATGCATCAGATGACTGCGGCTGCCGCTGCGTCCTTTAGAACATTAAAGAAATGCCCTTGAAGCGAGCTTAAATAACTCCTTTGTTATAGATATAGCTTTTTTCTAATCAGTGATGCAACTCTAATTCAACTCCTTTATGATAAAGTACTACCTTTTACTATTTCGAATAAAATTATATATACATCCGTGCATCATCATGAATCACCACCATGGTACAATGTAGTACCACTTTGAAAATTTCTCAGTCAATCACCAGAATAGACAATAGTCCATATATGCAACACAATCAAGGCAATGCTAATTAAAAGACACTAATGGTGTTCAACACAGCATAGTGCACTGCGCAGGTAGGACTTTTTATTCATAATTATGGTGTTCAATACAAGTGATGTTCCTAAATATTTTTTCAATCGGATATGAAAAACACACACAAAACATGTACTTTGTCAATAAGAAAAGAGACAAGGTTGGTAGTAAACTTATACATCTTGAATTTACTTGGAGTAAGTGTTAAGTTGTTGAGGCTAATTATAGTTCTTGCTTAAAGATAATATGAACATAGATTGACCTTATTAGAGAGAGACGACATACGTCTTTAAGAATTATTGATAGAGATCGATGAGTGTGAGATTTTCTTATAATAATATTTTTAATCATAGTGAACTTTTATATATAGGAACTGAAAGTGTATGTAGCTATGACATTAGGGTGAAACACTCTAAAATCTTTGTATGTCCTTATTTTTCTTTTACGATTTTATCACTCTCGGTAGGATAGAGTTGGGGTATATCTAATTCCTAACCATAATGCAAAAATTCAGTCAACAAAATCCAAAAAAAAAAAAAAATCAATCAACAAAAGTCCTTATGTAAGTTCCATCCATCTTATCAATTAGGAAGACCCCCAAAAAAAAAACACCCTAGAAAACAAATCACATCAATGTTGTGCATCTTCCCAATGCCTTAGCTAATTCCGTAAATCAACCAAAAAGCCCTGCCAGAAGAGTATTTTTCCAAACGCCTTATTACGAAATCAACCAAAAAGAGCTGGCAAAGGAGTACTAGGTAGTGGCCCCTGCAGATTCTCTGATGTCTAGCTCTATTATTTGCCTCCTATATATATATATATATATAACGCTTGTACAGATTAGGAAACAGCGTATACATCTTATCTCACAATATATAAAACAATTAAAATAGCAGATTAAAAGCTAGGAATCCTGTCTTCACGGCTAACGGACAAGAGGTTATTCGCCCATCCATTAAGACTTGATGTGTACTTGTACTCAAGTTTTTTGCTGCGGTGATCAATTGAAAGATATATGCATGGCCCATATAAAGTTCCTGTAGAAAAGAGATGACACGAACGTGGGATGTCCCATAATATAGCAGCTTTAGCTTTGCATTTTTTCTTTACTAGCCAAGAATCTTAAGAAAAAAAAATGATTATATTAAGGTTGATATTCTACCTCCTTACTTTGTCACTTTGTTGTCGTAACTTGCAATGACATAAAACGCCTTATTACGAAATCAACCAAAAAGAGCTGGCAAAGGAGTACTAGGTAGTGGCCCCTGCAGATTCTCTGATGTCTAGCTCTATTATTTGCCTCCTATATATATATATATATATAACGCTTGTACAGATTAGGAAACAGCGTATACATCTTATCTCACAATATATAAAACAATTAAAATAGCAGATTAAAAGCTAGGAATCCTGTCTTCACGGCTAACGGACAAGAGGTTATTCGCCCATCCATTAAGACTTGATGTGTACTTGTACTCAAGTTTTTTGCTGCGGTGATCAATTGAAAGATATATGCATGGCCCATATAAAGTTCCTGTAGAAAAGAGATGACACGAACGTGGGATGTCCCATAATATAGCAGCTTTAGCTTTGCATTTTTTCTTTACTAGCCAAGAATCTTAAGAAAAAAAAATGATTATATTAAGGTTGATATTCTACCTCCTTACTTTGTCACTTTGTTGTCGTAACTTGCAATGACATAAATATACACGCGCAAAAGTGAATTTTCTTTCTCGTCTCTTTCTTCACTTCTTTTTCATGCATGCAAAAAAGACGATATATTTAGAAAGAAAAGAAAAGAAATACTTCAAATTAATTTCCTATTATATATATGCTCCTAAGGGCATATTTGATACACCGTATTATATTATATTGTATTGTATCGTATCGTGTGATATTGTATTGCATTGTATAATTTTTATACAATACGGTGTTTGGTTGGTAGTAATATCAAACATTATATTATTTTTACCATTAAAATCTATTTACGTATTAATTTGTAATAAGGTAAAATTTAGGCCCAATCATAAGCTAATTTGACTCTAATCTTGACTCGAACCCAACACTTGAAGGAAGCAAGAAAGAAAATAGAGTTGCTACACAGGGGTCTTTTTGGAAAAAAATGAAAAATGGGGTCAAATTGTAATTTTTTAAAAAATTAAAGGGCAAAAATATTATTTTAAAAAGTTGAGGGTCAAAATATAATTTTGAAAAATTGATGATTCAAAGCATAATTTTTAAAAGTTCGGGGATCAACATATAGTTTTTGAAAAGTATAGGGGTCAAAATGTAATTTTAAAAAATATAAACTCAACCCCGAGCCTTGATATTTGTGAAATATTTTATATATTTTTAATATGGTATTTTAAGTTAAATATCATAATACGGTCTAGTACATAAGTTTTTTTCCGTATTAGATATAACACTTCATATTGTATTAATTTTGATTATTGTATTAAATTATACAATGTGGCCATGTTTGGTAGCTTGTATTGTAATGTATTGTATAAGGTGTATAGTATTGTGTTGTATTATCATAATACAATACGGTATTTGGTGTCATGATGTATTGTATAAGGGGTAAAAATGTAAAATTTTAATAATTTTGAGGTCAAAATGTAATTGTTGAGAAGTTTTGGGGACAAAATAAAATTTTATAATTTTGGGGTCAAAGTGTAATTTTGGAAAAGTTTTAGGGTCAAAATATAATTTTTAAAAAGTTTTGGGGTCAAAATATAATTTTTTATAAAATAAAAATTTGCACTTTGCCCCTCAAATTCTCAACAATATAGGCTCTGACATTACCTTATGTCGGCCCAACCCCAACCCTTAGTCGTGCCCTACCTCGACATGAATTATTGATCCACTATAAAATAATACAATACAATACGTTAAAAATGAGCTATA